CGGCCAGCGACCCCGAGATACCAAGATCCCACAATCCCAACCCTGGAAGCGAGAGAGAGCTCCTTCCCAACCACCCTTCCTTTATACAGTGAGCATGAGGTTCCATGATATGGAATATTTCACTGGCCAGTTTGGGTCAGGTGCTCTGTCCGTGCTCCCTCCCTGCTCCCTGTGCCCTGGCGCATGGGCAGGACATGGGGAGTCGGAGAGTCCTTGAAGTCTCGGTAGCAGCTGAAAACATCAGTGTGCTATCAGCATTTTTCCCATACCAAACCCAAAGCTAAATCCAAAACACAGCACTCATCTAGTCCCTGAAAAGGAATATTAACTCTATTTCAGCCCAAACCAAGACATCAGGCTAAGCGAGGATGGGAAGCATCTGCTCTCCTCACCCTGCATTTGCAGAAGGTAGCCAAGGCAGACCAATGCCTTCTGGCAGGACATGGCCATGCAGTCGGTGATCAGATGTTGGAGAATGGCTCAGAGACAAGGGTCCTGAGCCCACCGAGCAGTTGTACGATCAGAGCCTGTTCTAGGGGCTGATGCTGCCTCGCTGATGCTGGGCCTCACTAGGGTTTGCCTGCAGCTGCTCGCAGCTGCTGATACAGGAGGAATGTCAAGGATGCTTCGGCCTTGTGTACCGTGGTGTGTCGAAAACAGGTTAAGGGGGATTAGGAATAGTGGTCTGAGAAACCTAGTGTTATGATAACGGTGGTCTGAGAAACATTGTGTTACGGTACTGTCGTGTATCGAAAACAAGTCAAGAGGAATCAGAAATAGTAGCATGAGAAACTTAGTGTTATGAGAAGCTTGTGCTGTAAGCTAACTGCAAGTAGTTGGACCGTGCGAATACGACCTTTAGAGCTTAAGCCAATCAGCTAGTGAGTAGTAGGCATAATAATTATCATTGTCTGTATAAATATATGTACCCTGGACCAATAAACACACACGTTGATTGATGCTCTATCTTTCACACTGAACCCGTCTCGGCGTGTCGTTCGTCCGCGGCTCCGCATGGAAGAACATGAAAACAACCACCAGGTGGACCAGGCTGCAAAGATTAAGGTGGCCCAAGTAGATCTGGACTGGCAGCATAAGGGCGAAAAATTTATGGCTCATTGGGCCCATGACTCCTCGGGCCATCAAGGAAGAGACGCAACATATAGATGGGCTCGTGACCGAGGGGTGGACCTAACTGTGGACATTATATCACAGGTTATCCGTGACTGTGAGACATGTGCTGCAATCAGGCAGGCCAAGCGGTTAAAACCTCTTTGGTATGGAGGGAGATGGTTAAAGTATAGATATGGGGAGGCCTGGCAGATTGATTACATCATGCTCCCACAAACTCGGCATGGTAAGCGTTATGTGCTCACAATGGTAGAAGCAACTACCGGATGGCTGGAAACATATGCTGTGCCCCATGCCACTGCTCGGAACACTATTCTGGGACTTGAAAAACAAGTCGTGTGGCGGCATGGCACCCCAGATAGAATTGAGTCAGATAATGGTACTCATTTTCGAAATAATCTTATAAACACCTGGGCAAAAGAACATGGCATTGAGTGGATATATCATATCTCCTATCATGCCCCCGCCTCCGGGAAAATTGAGCGGTATAATGGGCTACTAAAGACCATGCTGAGAGCAATGGGAGGCGAAACTTTTAAGCATTGGGACACATTTAGCAAAGGCCACCTGGTTAGTCAATACTAGAGGATCTGCCAACCAGGCTGGCCCTGCCCAGTCAAACATTCTGCATATTGTAGGTGGAGACAGAGTCCCGGTAGTGCACCCTAAAAACATGCTGGGGAAGACCGTCTGGGTTATACCTCCTTCAGGTAAAGGTAAGCCCATACGTGGGATTACCTTTGCCCAAGGACCCGGGTGCACTTGGTGGGCAATGCAGAAGGACAGGGAAGTCCGATGTGTGTCTCAAGGGGACTTAATGTTAGGTGAAAATAGCCAATAAGCTGTATTAGATTAGTCACCACACCACCCTACCAATGCTTTGTTATGGCAAACATGAACGTGGATGAAAATAGGACTGGTTCCAGCAACTGATGCCCAGCGACTGCCGCAGACTGTGAATACAGACACCATCAGATGCATCAGCTCCAGTTGCAACAGAGACTGCATGCCATCCTCCTGTCAAGTCCAAGAACACTTCTGCCCTACTGACTGAGCATGGCTCCTCCTGCCTGAAGGGACTGTTATGACAGATGGAACCTGAAGCTATGGACCAAGTCAACTCATGATACATCCTGCAGTGATGGACCATGGACTGAGGAAATGGCATCTGTATGCGTATGTCTTTGACCAAGGAAGAGGATTGTAAATAACAATAATGTATTAGAAATATGGAACGTGAGATAAACTGTTTTTATCTCAACCCTCAAGACTCCCTTTGCCCCTCCGATTCCCTCCCCATTCCCAAGTAGGGGGAGGGTGGGTGAGCGGCTGCATAGCGCTTAGCTGCCAACCAGGCTCAAACCATGACAAAAGCCCACAACACTCTGCAGCCAAGTTTGCAAGAGCAAATCTGGCCCTAAAGGCTAGAAAGCTACGAGTGTCTCACCTTGTTTAAATCCACTGCGCTGGACTCATGGTTCACCCCATTTTTAGGTTTTGCAGTAGTGGCAGGAGGATGAGGGGGGAGCGTTTGGGCTGGTGGGAAAAAGAAAGACACTGAGAAAGATGGAAAAAGACCAATTGGGAAGCTTCTCCTTTGCCAGGAACCCTCCCCTGCCTTGGCGAGGGGGTGCAGCTCTGTCTGTCTCTCTCCCCCATCACCAAACAAGTGGGCAATGGGGACAAGGTTGTTTATTTCCTTCTCATTCTGTGGCGATGCTTCTTCAAGAGGACTTCTCGAACTTTCACCCGCATGCCCTCGTCAAACTCCGTGGACTGTTCCTGCCGGGCCAGGATCATATCTGGGGATGGCAAAGGGAAATGAGCCGTCACAGCAGAAAGCCCCTCTGAGTCCTGACCCCCGAAGACTCCGGGCAAGGCCGTGCCACACAGGACACCCTAATGCAGGCTCAGCCTTGCTTAGCAAGACATTTTATCACAATTCATCCTTTGCAGAAAAAGCAAGAATTTTCTTTTGCTAATAAACAGCATCAAAGTACATGTTCATCACTCCGCTAAGGTAATTATTTCCCATTCTAAATAATGCAATTTTCTTGCCTGATCTGGCCTTTCGGTCTGATTCTACACATTTAAGAAAACTGGAAGCAATCTATAGTGGAGACTTTCCCAGAATTTCCTTGTCCAATCAACTGCAAGTTCATGGCGCCCATGGTACCTGCAATCTGTTTGATGCTGTTGCCACAAATGTCCAGCAGCATTGTGCCACTGAGGATGCAGCTCCTCAGCTCAAAGAGGCTGTGCAAGGACAGCGTGACATCTTCCATGTCCTCCGCAAACTTCAGCCATCTGTGGACAGCAGGTGCCATCAGCCCCATTGCAAGGAAACAGCCCCAGCTCTGCAGCCCCTTGGGTAGAGCTGTGGGGTGGCAAGAGGAGAAGGCTCCTCACAGCAGCACCTGCAGCTGCAAAAGCTTCGCCTGCCAGGGAGCAGACAGCAGAGCCCGCGGTCGGTCGGCACCAGGACTCCTCTCCTACCGCAGCCGGCAGCAGAGATTTACCTTGCCCTTTCCTTCCACTTGGCATCTCCGCCCTCTTTCACAGATCTCATCCAGCTCGGTGAACAAGCCATGGGGGACATGCTGCTTGTCCTCCTTGGTCCTGAGGATGAACTGCACCCGCTGGGACAGGGTGTCTGGGGGCAGAAGACAAAGCGTGGTCCCGTTACCACACTTGAATCCGGCCCGACATGCTCACATGCAAAGTGGGCATCGGCTCAGCACCAGTTCAGCCATAAATATTGGGCTGGCCCCTCTCCCCTGGGTCTGTCCAGGTTTGCACAGAGCCACGGAGAATGAGAAGCATCGATTCCGCCTCTGCACAAGGATGGGCAGCTTTCCTGCCCCCCATTTCCATTTGTAGAGCCAGGATCCCTTGAAGGAAGGCACCCCTAAATCCATTACGCATTTAACTGCTGTAAAGAAAAAAAAAAAAAACAAACTGGGAAAAGTTTGAAAAAAGGGAGTCTTGCTAAATAATATCACTTTTCCTTGGAAGAACAGCAAGTCTCTCCAGCTAGCCACATGGACCTGTGTGCAGAAGACCCCAGCACCCACGGAGCCCCAAGGAATTTAGTGAGCACCGCAGCGGGACTTCCAGTGGTAGCCCTGCTCCGTCGGGGCAGAGTCCTTCTCCCAGGCCTGTTCCTGATGCTTCTGCCTGCGGGGTCGGTAGTGCCAGTGGCTCTGCCTCAGCAGCGGCATCCGCACGCCCACAGACAGGGTCCAGTGGGCTGCAAAAAAACAGCATTTGCAGCACGCTCGATATTGCGGGGAGGGTTGATGCATATGCCATGGCTAAATCAGTGCAGCCACCCCAGAAGGAAACACCAACTTCTCTTAGTTTCCACTGGATCTCCGAACGTCACAGACCTGTCCTTTTTCCAAGCCTGTTTCACTCCAGCTTTGCAACAACAAGTGATGGCTCTGGGCCATTTAAAAGTGCCCTGAAAGTATTGAACCTCTTCCCAAATTCCAGCTATGGCTGGACAACACTTAGACTGGATCACTAAGCAGTAACAGAAGGTAATTATTTTTAAAATCTTTGTATGGCACAAGGTGACAAGAGAAGGTCAAATCAGCCCCATGATAAATCACAGCCCCACATCTGCAGCTGTCAAATTGATCTCCTGACCTCTCCAAGCCAGGAGCAGCCGCTGCGAGGAAACAAGCCCTGAATTATCCAGCCCCGTGGCGAAAACTCACACCATGGCCTCAGCGGGGGCTTTTTCCCTCTGTTTAAAAAGCCATAGTAGTAAACAGTATGAAAATAGTTGTGCTGCTTTTTTAAGAAACATGGCACGTTTTGCTGCACGTTGATGAGCAGAAACAAACTTTACAACTCACAAAGAGTTATAAAGCAGGTATGTTTATTGCAGCACTGGGTGCAAGGGGTATCGCTCCTCCGAGCTTGCACCCCACATCATGAAGCAGGCATCATTTATGATACAAAAACATGCATATTCATTAGTATAGGCTGGGTTATTACAATTACTTCTAAGAATAGGTGTGATTATTATAATTATTTCTGGGAACTCATTATCCTGTCTCCTCCTCTTGCTGCATGTGTACTGCCATCCGGAGGTTGTGAGCCGGGGTCTTTTGGAGGAAGGCTCCTAGTCTTCTTCACCGTGTACTCTTCACCTTTCTCCCAGAATGCCGAGTTACTTCAGCCAGTAACCGCAAAACTGGCTCCAACCAGATGGCTCCTTGCAGATGCTGTAATTAACAGATGGATATCCTGTTATCTTTCAAGGCCTCTTACAACAGAAGTTTCCTATCATCTTTCACGGTCCCTTATAATGAAGTTTCTCATTATCTTGCTGACTCATTCGTCAGGGTGACAATATTTTATTAAGTATTCACTTTCCCATATCAACGTGAGGTGACACCGAGCAAGGGCCGTCGTAGGGACTTTGTGGAGTGGGAAAAAGTGCTGGGCTGGTGGCCCCTCTCTCAGCATCTCAGCAGAGACTCACCTGCCAAATCCTCCTTCGCACAGTGAATCCTGATGACACTGCTCACTCGTCCCCGGTCAGTCACTGCCTCTTTCTCATGTCGTCTCTGTTCAGCAATGAGAAGGTGAAAGTTGGGGCTGGGGGTACAGGGCTCTCTTACGTCCCCCCAGCCATCACCCACTCCTGCCCCCACACAAGTCCAGGAGGCCTCTGTGGGCCTCCTCCAGGCTCGGCCCGAAAAACTCAGACTTGGAGGAGCCTTTTCTTTCCCTACCCAGGTAAAACAGCCCGTGACATCACCGACATTGTACACAACGTAAGGCAGGAAGTATTTACTACAGGGGGAGAGGGCTGAGGGTTTCAGACCAGAAAAACAATCCTCCTGCTTTGCTCTTGTGCTTCCTTTCTAAACAAACATACAAATAAAAACCAACCAAAAAAAAAACCACACACACAAAAAACCCCCCTCAAAACAAAAACAAAAAACACCGACCAAAACCAGATTTCCAAACTGGGGGAAAAAGATCCAAACCCTGCACTTTTTGTCACAGCAACGCGATCCCTGCAAGACTCACCAGATGGCACTTGGCCCCAGGACATGGCCACCAACAACCTCCAAAGGCCCTCAAGAACCTTCACAAGGGTGAAGCTTCATCTTCAGCCCAATGAGGCTCAGGCTTCCCTTGGTGTAAGCGTGCTTTCTACCAAAACCAGGGGTTTTCTCCTCACAAAAGCCAAGGGCTGAGAGCAAACACCCTCCTTGCCTGAAACACCACTGCCGCCACTGCATGAAGAGCAGCCGTGCCTTTAGAGTCGAAGCGGAACTACAGGAAAAAACAGAAATAAGTCTTTTTGCTGCTCTTTGCACCTTGCCACCTGGGCTGGGGAAGGGGATGACCAGGATTACCATGTTTAAAGCAGTAAAATCCCAGCCAGGTCTCACACTTGAGTTGTAACTGCGGCTTTGAAAGGGCCTCCTGGAAACCTTGATATCTTTTGTCCTTTCTTTCGGCTGCACTTTTAATCACTATGCATGTCTTAAATATAAAGAAAAGACATCATTGCTGCTTGGTTTCTCCTTCTTTGCATTCTTACACAGTGACTAATCCAAGAAAACCAAAATTTGTTCACCCATGCAGAGAAAAAATGCACGGCTCGAACACCCTTTAGTTTTCATTGGTTTTCACATTATTCCTTTATTAAAGGCACAAAGGGGAAGGTTTGGGACTGCTGAATTGCTGAGGTTCGTCTCTGCAAGCCTGCTGCCGTCATCACAACCATCAAAAACTGTTCAATAAAAATCCACTTGCTCGAGTTCTGAAACTGGAGTTTGAAGAAGAGCACAACCCCAAGCAGCCCGGATGAAGCTGTGGGGCTCCTGGCTGGAATTGGCGGAGCAGGAGCCGCCCCGGGCGCGGGGAAGCAGCCCCGACCCCCCCGAGCTGGGATTTTCAGCGCCAGCTCCCAGCGCTGCGCAGGCCCCCGCTGCCTCTTGCCCCAAGAACGAGGCCCCAGCCGAGCAGCTCGGGGCTGCCCCCCCAGCCGTCCCTCGGGGCGGCCAAATCAGCTCCTCGAGGGGCTTCGGCCGGGACCCCGGGCTGGGGCCTGGGGCGGGCAGGGAAAGGGCCGGGACCCCCCGGCTCGCAGCCCCCCCGGGCTCGGGGCTCCCCCAGCCCTTGCCGGCGGCTCCCAGCCCCCCCCGCCAGCCCCCCCCGCCCCACTCCCCAGCCCCGGGGCCGCCCGCAGCCCCCCCCGCCCCACTCCTCGGCCCCCCGAGGGGCTCCGAGCCTTTCCCCAGCCCCACTCCCCGGCACCCCCGGGGCCCACCCGCCGCTCCCGGGCCCCCCGGGGGGCCGCAGCCCCCTTAGCCCCCTTCCCAGATGCTCACAGCCCCCCCAAAGCACGGAGCCCCCCCCAGCCCCAGCCCCACTCCCGGGCTCCGCAGCTCCGCCCCCCCCCCCCCCGCTCCTCCACCCCGACAAAGAGCGGGTCCCACCGCGCGCTCCGGCCCCGCCCCCTCCGCAGCCAATCAGCGCGCGGCTCCCCGCCCTCCCGCGCGGGGCATGCCGGGAGTTGTAGTCCCGGCCCCGGGATGCACGCATGCGCACGGCGCCCGGTGCGAAGGGGGCGGGCGAGCAAGGAGCCGCGTGCAGGGTCCTCGTGTAACGGGGGTGTGTGCAGGGTCCTCGTGCAAGGCGGGGGTGTCACCTCCCTTCCCCGTGTGATTTTACGCCCCGTGTCGCCGCTCGGGGCACGCCGGGCAGTTCACCTCTGTGCTGAGCGGCGCTGGGGGGGAAGTTCGTCAGAGCACATGGATTTGTAGGATGGAAATGACAGATCAGCTCAGCTCAGAAAATCAAGGAGAGCTGGAGGGAGCGGGGATATTCCTGAAAATCGTAACCAAGAAAACTCCCCAAGCCAAATGAGAGTTTAAAAATCCAACGCTTTTATTACAGTGCTGGGTGCGTGGGAGATCTTTCCTCCTAACATGCACACCCAGGGACAAAAGCACACTCATCATATACAGAAAAAAAAAAAAAACATTCGTAGAAATTCTAAATAAACAATCATATAATTTCTAGCATTCATATAATTTCATTCCTCTAATTTCTAATATAAATTCTAAAATCTAATGCCTGTGAAACTACCTCTGCGCAAGCGTACAGAATCGGGGAAGGGTCTCGGGTGGTTGTTTTGAAGTACAGACCTTAACTCACTTTACCCACTGATGGTCACAGCTCACAGTCTGGGCTGCTGCTCGGCACGCAGCCCTGCTGATCTTATCTACAAAGTGCACACAAAGGAGCCTGCTCCTTGTATCCTTTGTATCTGAACGGAATTGTTCACGTCTCTGGTATCAGCAGGTCTAACTAGAACCCTTACTTTATGACTTTTTCATTTTCTGAAAAACACACATCTCAGACAGCGGAACCAGAATCACAGAATCCCAGGGTGGAAGGGACCTCGAGGATCAGCTGGTCCAACCTTCCTTGGCAAAGGCCGGCCTAGACAAGGTGGCCCAGCACCCTGTCCAGCTGAATCTTAAAAGTGTCCGCTGTTGGGGGATCCACCACTGCCCTGGGGAGATTATTCCAGCGGCTGATTGTTCTCGTGGTGAAACATGTTCCTCTTGTGTCCAGCTGGAATGTCCCCAGCAGTAACTCGTGCCCACTTGCCCTTGGCTTTCCCCTGGGACTCCTTGTAACAAGGGAGTCTCCCTCTTCTTTGCAGCCCCCCTTGAGATGCTGGAAGCAGAAGAGCTGCCCAGGCTGGCACCAGAGGATCTGTCCCTGCTGAGCTCAGGGACTGCCGGCGGGACTGACAAGCTGAGAGCGGTGTCTGTGGGGCCAGTCACTGCCGAGAGCAGCGCCAGTCCCAGTCCCTCACCCTCACCCTGAGAATCAGCGCTGGCTAACGGGTGCGGGGTTTGGATCCCAGTCCACACTCCCGGGTTCTGTTTCTCTCGCTCGGCCAAGAGGCAAGTCCCTGCACCCCTGTGATCCCGGGAAATGGAGATGGGTCTGCTCTTCTTGGTACTCGGGAAGAAGTCACCCTAACTATTAACCAAGTAGCACCTGAAATCATAGCCACCTCCTCCTCTGAGAGGCAAAGGTGCTGACGGTATTTAATTGCACTGGCACTTAATTTACATACAATGGTTTTATGACAATTGCAAGGTATAAGGTATCTTATTCAGCTGAAAAGGCACAAATGTTAAGCAAGCAGCACAGAATGACAACTGAAATTGCAGTCTGGGGAGAAATCTCAGGTCAAATCTAGGAGAAAACTTTCTCCCTGACCAAATAAGGATGTTTGAAAAAACTGAAGCCATAGTCATAAACATTTTGTCATAAACAAAGGCACAGCACATTCATCTGTAGAAACTTCTGTTCAGGTCAGAGAAAACACTCTTTAAACAAGTTACACTTCTTCAGCACTCCTATCAAATAAATATGACCTGTAAAATGAAGGTAGTGTGGTAAATTGAAAAAATAAACTACAAGAGGCATCTCCCATTAACTTTGGGCAATACCTTGCTGGTAACTGTTTCTGGCCCAAGAGACTTTCGGAACCAGCACCTAAAGCGGGCTGCCATTTGCCCTTTGCCCTCTGCCTCCCGAAAGAAGAGACTTCCCCAGGGGTGACCGAAGGTGGCTTGTACTGGGGAAAGCCTCCCCGAGGGGAACCCGTGTAAAACAAGCCTGGGGCCAGGCTGTGCCGAGGGGCAGCTGTCCTGCAGGCAGCGGGACAGGCCGGCAGTGACACTCTCTGCTCAGCACGCTGTGGGTGCTGCACAGCGCAAGGACACCGTGGGGTTGGGCTTGTCCCAGCTTTATTAAATTGCAGCCGTTTCCCCGAGGGAAGTCGCCCCTCAGCCTGGCTTAGCAGCACCAGCAGCACAGCGCTCGCAGGGTGCATCCTGGTGTCTGCTGCTGCGTTTGCGAGCTCAGGATGCAGACGGTCTGAGCGGTCAGGGAACAGATGGAGGGTTCTCTGTCATTCTGCAGGGGCTGCAGGGCTGGGAGCGAAAGGAACAGAGCCGAGATGAGCCCCTGTGTGTGCAGAGACCTCCCGGCATCCCCTCCAGCCCGTGCTCCCGACTCACCGGTGCAGATCTCGGCCAGCTTCTCCTGGCTTTGGTCCCTGAGGGGCCGCGCAGCAAGCCCTGGGCACAGAGCGTCGTCTGAGCGCCCGCTGCCCAGCACGCTCCCAGCAGCGCAGCCCCCGGCCCCGCCGGCTCGGCTGCACGCCCTCCTGCCCCTCCGCAGGGCTGAGCCCAGGGCAGGCCAGTAGCCGAGGCGGGGGGGACCGGGCAAGGCGGCCACCAAGGCCACCGGCGTGGGCAGGGCTGGGAGAGGGAGGCCAAGGCCCTGCACGGGGCAGCCGGGGCTCTGGCAGCCCCAGGGCTGCTCCTGCTGCCAGCGCAGCGGCGGGGGCTGGGGCCGGGCTGCCAGAAGAGGGACCCCGGGGGCTGTGGCTCACCGAGGAACCTGACGGCCGCCTCTCGCAAGGTGACCTGGTCGTCCTTCAGGTACAGCAGGCTCTGAGTCACGTAGTCCTCGGCCCTTTTCCTGTCCTGCACCAGCTGGAGAGAGCACGGGGCTATGGGCATGTCCCAGTCCCTCCCCAGTTTCCCAGAGCCCTCCCTCCCGCCGGGTGCAGGGAGGGGAGAGGCGCGTGGAGAAGAGCCCGTGGGGGCTCTGTGCTGGAGGACAGGGACCAAGGATGCGGCTCCAGGCTGTGGGCTCTGGGCTGGAGCAGGGAAGGCGAGGTGGAGCTGCAGAGCCCCCGGCCCCGACGCGGGGGGCAGCCCTCGTCCAACCCGGGCCCTGGGGTTTGAGGGTTGTCCTCACCAAGCACTCGCCAATCCTCCATGTCTGCTGGGTCTGTACCAGGTGTCTGAGCTTCTTCCACCTGAGGAGCTCTGCTGCAGCAAGGAGGGCTTCCCTGGAGGCCTGCAGAGCACCAGAAGCTGGGAGATGGCACCACAGCCTGGGCAAGGAGACCTGGTGTCCCCCTCCTCTTGGCTTTGTTCCCGGGGTGATCCCACACCTGGGAAGCTGCAACAGGCCCTCGCCCAAACAGATGAGGGTGCCTTCCCCACATCAGTGCTGAGCTTTGAAATCTGTACCTTGGCCACGAGCTGGCACTGGTCACTCATGCGAAAGAAGAGCGGGAGCAGGCCCAGCCGCGCTTTCTTCCTCATCTCTTTCTTGGTTTTGCCCACCACGGTCTTCATCAGGTCTCTGAAGAGGCTGATGGAGAGCTCTCGCAGCTGGTTGAAGCCCTGGCAGGGAGAAGTACAGCGTGACTTGAGCAACCGCGGCTCAGCCTCAGCCCCTCGCCACGGGCTCTGGGGAGAACGTCTGGTCCTGCCCCGCAGCGCGGCTGGGGGAGCCCTCGGGGCTCTGAGAGCAGCTCTCCAGGAGGAGCTGGGCTGGGCTGCAGAACCCAGAAGCCATCCCCCAAGAGCTGGGGCAGAAAGGAGGGGAGCAGCCCCTGCCCCGAGTGCTGCTCGCAGGGCTGGGCTGCAGGGCAGCTCTCAGTGCCCAGTGCCCCTCTGCGGGGCTCAGGCTCCCCCATCAGCCTGACCTCGGCAAAGAGGGGCAGGAGGTGCTCCGCCAGCTGCACGGCGATGGGGCTGGCCTTCTTCTTCTTCAGGTGACCCATCACATTGCGGAAGACCACCAGGTTCTTCATCTTGAGGTCTGCTTCGCCGTCCTGCAGGACCTCCATCATGT